AGCATATTTCTATATAAATTTTCTCCAACTTTATTCAAACAAGAATATCCAGAAACAGAAGTGATAAAAACATATTTTAAAAAACGATTTTATGTAAAAGTACTTTTTTCTCTTAAATGTAAAATTTTGTACATTCACAAACAGTTTTGACTTTTGATATTCTATTTCAAGCAAAAATATCTTTTATATCAGAGACATGGAAATAATAACATGATTTATATTTTTAACTTTCTTATTTACACAATCTTTACCATGTTAGTTCTTACTGGTGCATTAAGATGTTATCAAGATTGATAAAAACATTCCTTGGTGTTTCTACACATCTTAGACTGTATGCTGTAAAAAGTATATAATAAAGTAACTCATCATTGTAAAATCCCTACTTAAAATGAACATTGCAACAAAAGTTGGGAAGTGGAAACAATTCCTTATGTATTTATTTATAGGTAATTGAATATGAAATATGAAAGGGAAATACTCTGAAATACTTAGTAGCTTAATTCTGGGTGCAGCTTGTTTCTGAATGAGTTTTTCAGAGCACATATGCATTTATTTTGAACATTTCTTGAAGACTTACTCTGTTGAAAGAATGATGATTTTATATATTGTTAACTGTTATGTATAAAATCATATTTTCTTTTTTCAGGTCATCTGGTTGATGAGATACAGTGAAATCTGAGTGAAACTTAGAGGCAATATTGAATACAGCATATTAAAACTTGTTGTGTTTGTCAAAAAGGCCTGACAAAAATTGGTGCGTTTATACATTTGGTCAAGAAATAAAGTATTGCAAATTTCTTTCTCTTTACGTCAATAATTCTTTGTGTCAAAGATTGTTTTATATGCAATAAATTGAGTATGTTTTAGAGACAACCTCACTATATCCTTAATTAATATTATTGGTTTGGGTATTTCACATTTAAGTGTAAAATTAATGTAAAAATTGGATATTTTTGTGCCAAGTCAGACTTGTGTAGTGTTTGTCACACTGATAACATTTGGTAGGAGTTTTCAGCTGTGTCATAATATTCTGACATTGAGCTTCCTTCTGATCTTGAACTTCACTTTTGAAGATACTGTTTTCTCAAACATCATGCAAAGGTACATATGGATGATAAATTTCATATGTGTCATATTTATGTAGTTTTGTTCCTTCCTATGCATCAATGTTCCATACATTTCAATGATGATGATGATAATAATAATAATATTAATTTTCAAGATGTATTAAGCTTGCCTGAGCTAAAAGGTGATAAGAGCTTCTCGGATCTAAAGTATCCCACATCTGTCTGTCTGGTCATTTGGCATCTGGTCTGTAAAGTTTATAACATTTTCCCCTTCAAGAACCACTGGGCCAGTATCATCCAAATTTATCACAACTTAGCATCCTTGGTTGAAGGGGATAAAATTTCATTGATTTGAAGGGCTATACCCTCTTTCAAGGAGAAATAATTAAGTGAAAATCTAATGGCATCTTACAAAATTCCTTTTCTCAAGAACAACAGGGCCAGAAAAGATGAAACTTAAGTGCATTCATCACTACATAGTGAAGATTTGTTCAAGTCATGACCCTTGGGGGTAAGGCAGGGCTATAATAAGAAATCAAAGATTTATATAAGATAGATTGATTGTATGTTGTTTAACATCCCATTCGAGGATTTTTCACTCATATAGCATGTATAGAGACCTCACCATGAACTGGTGAAGAACTTCAAATTTAGACCTTTACTCGGCACTCGGGGCCATTGAGCAGTGAGGGTTCTTTATTGTGCCAACGCCTACTGTGACACAGGACCTCAGTTTTTAAGGTCTTGAATTATATAAGAATATATTGCAAAAATATTTCAAAATCTTCTTCTCAGGAACAATAGGGCTATGATAGGTCATATTTATATGGAAGAACCATTAAGTATTGTGGAGACAGATTTGTTCTATTTATTATACATAGGGGTTGGGTGGAGTCAAAATATGTGATATAAATTTTACATAGAATATATGGGAAAATCTGCTGATGAAGAACAGCAGGGTCTTGGTGATTCAGTGGGGGATTTTGCCCATGGGTCTCTTATTTCTTAGTTTGCATTTACCTTAATGTCCAAGAAACTTTAAAAGATATAATTTTATGTTAATAATTTACCAGTACAAATTGGTAAGGCAATTCAACTTTGTCATAATTGTATTTCCTTGATCTTACTTATGATCTTTAACTTCAATATTTCCCCCATTTTCTAATAATTCATTCTATTGATTCTGGTAAATGGATAAATTTCTGTGAGGGTATTTCAACACATTTACATAGAGGGTCATATATAAATTTGCTACTTACAGAATAAACGAGATTGAAACAACAAGACATTATTTAATAACAGACTACTGATGAGGAAGACACTTGTTACAATTTTAAGCCAAGTGGAAAACAAGCTGTCATGTTTGAACTAGACAATTCAGATTCTTAATTAAATAGCTAGCCACAATGATAAAAAGGGTTAAAAATTGTGGATAGGAGATATTGCAAGAACTTATTGAAGGTGTTTTTGGAATAAATGACCTTTAACTTCTATATACAAGAAGAATTTAAGGTGGTATGAATTTCTTGTCATAATTCTCAAAAATGAGAATGGGAGAGTTATAGTCTTTGATCATCATATTCACAAACTTAAAACATGGATTTTTATTCAAACATTGGCAACAAGGATAACACTTGTTACATTTTCAAAAGCGAATGTCAAAGACCCTTATCCCTAATCTTATCCCTGCAATAAACATCAGATAATGTTAAGTATCAAGGTGAATTTTCTGTATGCTTTTTTTTTTTTAGCTCACCTGAGCTGAAAGCTGAAATGAGTTTTTCTGATCACCTGTCGGCCGTCTGTAAAATTTTCACATTTTTAACTTCTTCTCAAGAACCACTGGGCCGATTTTAACCAAAATTGGTACAAAACATCCTTGGGTGAAGGAAAATTTAAATTGTTAAAATGAAGGGCCAAGCCCCCTTCCAAGGGGAGATAATCAAGAAAAGACAAAAATAGGGTGGTGTCATTGAAAAATCTTCTCAAGAACCACTGGGCCAGGAAAGCTGAAACTTATGAGAAAACTTCCTGGGGTAGTGTAGATTCTAAATTGTTCAATTCATGCCCCCCCCCCCCCCCCCCCCCCCGGGGTAGGGTGGGACCACAATAGTGAATCCAATTTTAACATTGAAATATATAGGAAAAATCTTTAAAAATTTTCTTTTCAAGAACTAATGGGCCAGAAAAGCTGAAACTTATGTGGAAGCATCCTGGGGTAGTGTAGATTCTAAATTGTTCAAATCATGACCCCTGGGGTTAGGGCGGGGCCACAATAGGGAACCAATTTTTACATTGAAATATATAGGTAAAATCTTTCAAAATCTTCTTCTCAAGAACTACTGGGCAAGAATCCTGGGGTAGTGTAGAATCTAAATTGATCAAATCATGACCCCAGGGGGTAGGGTGGGGCCACAATAAGGAATCTAAATTTTACATTGAAATATATAGGAAAAATCTTCTCAAGAACTACTGGGCCAGAAAAACTGAAACTTATGTGGAAGCTTTCTGGGATGGTGTAGATTCTAAATTGTTTAAATCATGACCCTCAGGGGTAGGGCGGGGCCACAATAGGGAATCCAGTTTTTATGTAGAATATGTAGGAAAAATCTTTGAAAATCTTCTTCTCAAAAACTATGAGGCCAGAAAAGCTGAAACTTTTGTGGAAGCATCCTCAAGTACTGTAGATTCTAAATTGTTCAAATTATGACCCCCTGGGGTAGGGTGGGGCCACAGTAGGTATTACAAGGGGGAAATCAGGTGAAGAACAGCAGTGCCAAATTTACACAGTTGAGCGTTGTGGCCCATGGGCCTCTTGTTCTTTTTTTGAGTTGAAAGTTTGAGTTCTTCTGATCATCCATTGTCCGGGATATGTCTGTTAACTTTTCACAGTTTTATCTTCTTCCCAAGATTTATTGCACCAATTTTAATCAATGTTGGCAAAAGCATCTTTGGCTTAGGGGATTTTAAATTATTTAAAGGACGGACCAAGATCCTTTCCAAGGAAGATAATCAAGAAAAGGCAAAATAAGGATGGTATTTTTATTTTATTTTTTTTAAAATCTAAGCCCTTTAAGGTACAGTAAAGTCTGAATTGTTCAAAAATGGCCCAGGGGTAGGGTTGGACCACATTGGGGATCAAAGTTTTACATTGACATATAAAGGAAAACCATCTTTAAAAACCTCAAAAATACAAGATCAGAAGAAATGAAACTTGTAAACATAAAAGCTACCTGAGATAGTATAGATTGTGAATTTTCAAATCATGGGGTCTTGTGGGCAACATTAGGAGATCAAAGTTTAACATTGAAGTATATAGGAAAAATTCTCTACAGATCATCTCAAGAACATTGAAACTTAGAATAAAAACTACCTGAGGTAGTATAGATTCTAAATTATTCAAAGCAAGGCCCCGGCTTAAATTGTGGTGAAGGAAGAAAGGGTCCACAGTAGGAAATCAAAGGTTTATTATGTATGGGGGTGTTAAAAAACTTCTCAAGAAACACTGGACTAGAAAAGATGAAAGTAATGTAAAATCTCCTGATTATAATGTAGATATTGTTTAAATCATGATTTGAGGGTAGATTGGGGTCACAATAAATAATCAGAGTTTAACAAATGACCATATTGTTTTGAAAACTGCAAGTCCATGTTAATCAAATTTAAGCATTCCCATGCTGTATGGATTTAGATACCTTTAAGAGCATAATATGGAGTTGTATTTTTTCATGGTAGTATACCATTCTTTTAAAAATCTGAGGAAGAGCAGGAAGGCTCAAGTTACTCAGGTGAGCGTTGTGTCTCATGGGCTTCTTGCTTAAATGATGGATATTATCCTGTTACTCCCAGAAATGCAAATTTTTATTTATTGAAAGAAAAAAAAATGAAAAACTAAAAATTAAGTTTTGTTTTTATTTTGATATTTTTCAGAATATGCCACGTAAAGCAAAAAAATCAGCTGCAAGAAAGGCGTCTGAACAGAGACAAAGAATGCAGCAGAGAAGAAGTCAGGCTACTGAACAGAGCAACATCTCTTTAAAATGTCCAGAAGAGAGCAACACCTCTTTAAACTGTCCAGAAGAGAGCAACATCTCTTTAAACTGTCCAGCAGAGAGCAACATCTCTTTAAACTGTCCAGCAGAGAGCAACATCTCTTTAAACTGTCCAGCAGAGAGCAACATCTCTATAAACTGTCCAGCAGAGAGCAACATCTCTTTAAACTGTCCAGCAGAGAGCAACACCTCTATAAAATGTCCAAAACAGAGCAACATCTCTATAAAATGTCCAAATCAAACAGATAATGAAAAGAGCAACATCTCTATAAAATGTCCAAATAAAACAGAGATTGAAAAAAATGCATATGAAACAATCATGTTAACGAGAAACAGACAAGAAAAAGAAAACTTGAACAAATTTGCAAGTATACCATCACGAAAGATTCGTAAAGTTACTGGAAATGATAGCCAAGTCAACTCTGGCAATGAACAAACTAGAGTGGTAGTTCAAGGTAGTTTTCATCAAGGAGATGCCAGGTTTGAAGAAAATAGTGGAAAACAATGTGTTGCTAATAGTTTGTCAGCAATTGCTCATAGTAAATTGAAAGATTTAGATAAATGGGATCAGACCTATCTGGACAATGTTCTAATTGAAGGAAATGAGATTTATTCTTCGATTCATGGAACAAATGACTTGCTATTAATCTCGGATCTGCCAGAAATGATTGAAATATCAGGGAAAATAATGCACATTAGGAAAAAAGACTCAATCACAGCAACAATTGACTCTACTGGGACCATTGACTTTAATGCCTTTGATAATTGTTTGCCACTAGATCTGGCAATACAGGAATCGCTTATAGACTCGGATGGCTGTTTCATATGTGCGATTGATAAAACTTTTATGGTAATGAAATACAGGCATGATATCTATCTTTTTGATTCTCACTCGAGAAATAGATTTGATTTAGTAGATGGAAATGGAAAAAGTTTACTGTTGCAGTTAAAGAACTTGAATCATTTATATCAATACTGCTGCAATTTGATACAAGGAGTAGAACAGTCAAATCTGTGGTTTGAAGTCACTGGTGCACGTGTAGCAGTTCTAGATTCCTCAGTTGAAAATTCTTTGAACAACCAGAATATGGTTGAACAAATTGTACCAAATGCATTCTCTCCATGCCATGTTCAAGAACATATAGATGAATCCGAGAGAGACCGGGTTTCAGACCTCGCTATTCAGTCATTGATGAATTCTACAGAAGTGAAGTTATCAGCATATGAAGAAGAAATTCATGATCATTATAATGACTGTTCAAGAGAACATTTCTCTGATGTAGAAGTTATGTTGGAAAATGAAACATGTGTGAGTTTCGACTTCATACCCCTAACAAACAAAACAAAAAAGAAACTGTGTTCTATGATGAAAATCCCGTCTAATCAATGTCAAAGACAGTCTGACATTACATACAATATGGGATCCCCTAAAGCAACCAAGTCAATAGGAATGGATGGCAACTGTCTGTTTAGGGCAATATCTTATGCAGTATCAAATAGGCAACAGTATTATCAAAAGATAAGAAGTTCAGTAGTCAATCACATGAAAAATTCTGCCGACGCATTAAAATCATTTTTAAGACCAGGGTATGAATCTGTGGAGGAGTATATCAGAATGTCTGGAATGGAGAACGATACCACTTGGGGTACTGAGCTTGAAATTTTAGCCGCTGCAGATCTATTGAAAACAAATATTTTTACCTATTTGAATGGATCTTGGGTGAAATACTCACCTTCTCAAATATGCAGTAGCGCTGAAGTGAATAATGAATCAATTTACTTGAATCATGTCACAAACTCCAATCATTATGAATGCGTTTCGTCTGTAAATAGTAGAGACACTGGTTTAAACACAAGAAACTCACAACCAAGAAAAAGAAAACGAAAATTGAAGAGAAAAAGTTCTGTAAATGTTTCGGTAACAAAACTGAGTAAAACAGATAGCTTGGACATTGAAATAGACAGTGAAAAACAGTCACAGGCAGAAAAAGAAAGGGAAAAGTACAAGTCATGTAAAGAATTTAGGGGAAAAAAGATAAATCTTTTGAAAGAGAAATATTCAAAGGATGAAAAGCATAGGGAAACTGTGAAAAAACGTTCAGCAAACCAGTATGAAAATGATGATGAGTACAGAGAAAGAGTAAAGAAAGCGAGTATGGAGAAATATGCAAATAATGACGAATTCAAAGAAAAGGTAAAGAATGCAAGCAAAAACAAGTATGAAAATGTAGCAGATTTTCGAGAAAGGGTTAGGATTGCAAGCAAAAGAAAATATGAAGACGACATTGATTTTAGAGAATCTGTGAAGCAATTTAGCATCCAAAAATATGAAAATGATAGCATTTTCAGGGAAAAAGTAAAACAATCAAGCAAACAGAAGTATGAAGAAGACGAAACACAAAAAAACAAAATAAAAGAGCAGGTATCTGTACGAAGACGTCTTCAGAAAGAAGGAAATCAGCACATTGAAAATGTGATTGAAAAATTCAGAGATGAAGTTAAACATGGACCTGAATATGTGTGTGCTTGTTGCCTCCGGCTTTGTTTTGAAAAACAAGTACTCTCCTGCATTAAAGAGAAATATGACAAATTATTATTTGACGTTTGCATTTCCGAGAAATATTTGCACAAATGTGAAGAAAACTGTTCGGTAGAATGTATATATCAGGGAAACAGTAGAAAGGACCTGTGGATTTGCCACACATGTCACAGAAAGCTATTGAAAGGTGACGTACCAGGAGACTCATTTTCAAATAATCTTGAATTAGAAGAAGTCCCGAAAGAGCTTGGTTGTCTGAATACATTAGAACAACAATTGATAGCATTGAATATTCCTTTCATGAAAATACTTGGTTTGCCAAAAGGAGGACAGAAAGGTGTGCATGGTCCTGTTGTTTGTGTGCCATCTGACCTAAGAAAAGTAACATCCACGTTGCCAAGATCAGAAGACGAAAATTTCTTACTTAAAGTTAAATTAAAAAGAAAATTGAATTACAAAGGATACGAGGAGTACCAATTTGTGAATACAAAACACTTGGAAGAAGCACTGCAGTTTTTAAAAGGGAACAATACATGGTACTCTAATATATCAATAAATGGAAACTGGCTCAATCCTATTCCTGAGGAAAATGAATCGACAGAGGACTCAAACAAAGATGCTTTGGAAAAGAATGCTGATAATGAAATGGAATGTATGGAAACCGAGTTTGATTCTTTTCTTGATGAAAAACTGCAAGGTGTTCAGTTAGATACTTGCTTACAGCCTGCTGACATTGGACAAGAAGTATTAGATTTATGCTTTGACAAAGTTTTTGAAATTTCACCAGCAGAGGGAAACAATCCCGTCTCAGTTCTTCAAGAAGATGGTATAGAAGCTAAAACGTTTCCTGCTCATTTTCCAACCGGAAAAAACACATACTCGGAAGATAGATCTGAAAAGTTAACACTTGGGAGATATTTCAACCTTCGATTGACGAGTGTTGAAAACAGATTCGCCAGAGACTCATCCTACATTTTTTTCAGTCAATATCTATCTGAATTGAACAGAGTTATTTCAAATGTGCAAATTTCTTTGAGAAAAGAGTCTGCATATTCTGATGAGGGCAAGAAAATAACAGGTGAAATGCTATGTGACAAGGATACCTTGAAAGAACTCTTTAAAAAAGATGAGGCAATCAAATTTTTGAAACCCGTTAGAGGAACACCACCATACTGGCAAGCAGCACAGAAAGACATTTTTGCCATGATACGCCAGTTGGGAATACCTCAATTCTTTTGCTCCTTTTCATCAGCAGATTTTAGATGGGCAGAGATTATTGAGACAATACTTAGACAACAAAATGATACACGAAATCTGAACGAACTTTCATGGAACGATAAATGTAAAATTCTGCGAAGTAATCCAGTGACTGCAGCTAGAATGTTTGATCACAGATTTCACACTTTTTTGAAAGATGTTATCATGTCAGATGCTCAACCAATAGGAAAAGTAGTTGACTATTTCTACAGAGTTGAATTTCAGCAAAGGGGTTCTCCACATACACACTGTTTATTTTGGATAGATGGTGCTCCAAAATTTGAACAAGACTCTGAAACTGACGTTGTGAAATTTATTGATCGATATATAACATGTGAAATACCAGATGCCATTGAAAACCCGGAAATGCACGACATTGTTATGGCTGTACAGCAGCACAGTAAAAATCACTCAAAGTCTTGCAAAAAGAAAGGAACAGTTTGTAGATTTAACTTTCCTAGACCACCATCAGAAAGAACGTTTATCTCAAAACCAAAAGAAGATATTGATGAAAAAGAAGAAAAACTAGCGAAAGAAAGATTGTCACTTCTATGGGATGCTGTAAAATCCAATGAAGATGAAAGAGCCATAAGTTTAGACCTACTGCAGAAAGCAGGATTGACTCAAGAAGAATTTGAGAAATGCTTTAGTTTCATAACGAAGAGAAACACAGTTGTGCTGAAAAGACTACCCAATGAACTGTTCACAAACCAATACAATGAACATCTTTTAAGAGCTTGGAATGCTAATATGGATATTCAATATGTATTGGATGCATATTCATGTGTAGTATATATCATCAGCTATATTAGCAAAGCTGAACGTGAGCTTGGGCTACTACTACAACAAACAAAAAATGAAGCTGTTGAGGGAAATTTGAATGCTCAGGAGGCTATGAAAAAAGTTGGTACTGCTTATTTACACCACAGAGAAATAAGTGCACAGGAAGCTGTTTATCGGGTTATAGGATTAAGGTTGAAAGAATGCTCAAGAAAGGTTGAATTTGTACCTGTTGGTGACAATCCATGTAGAATGAGTATCCCCTTGAAAGAAGTGAAAAAGAGACAAAACATGTCAAAGATAAAAGAACAAATTCATTCTAGCGAAGAACAAGACAACCCAGAAAATGATTCTGATATATGGCTGACAAATGCAGTGGACAGATATATAGGACGGCCTGAAATGGACGTTTTTCAGAAAATGTGCCTTGCAACGTTTTGTTCAGAATTTTCGATTGTTTATGAGTCAAGTTTACCAAAGAAGATCAATGAAACAACGACATTCAAACTTAGGAACAACCTTGGTTATATTAGAAAGAGGACTAAGACAAAACCGGCAGTTATCAGATACCCACGGTTTTCAGTAGAAACTGCAAAGGAAAAATACTATCAAAGTATTTTACAGTTATTTCTACCATACAAGGAAAAGACACAACTGAAACCCAAACAGTTTGAAACCTGCGAGAATTTCTACGAAACAGGGTATGTTAAATATCCAGGTGAAGAAACTCTACTGTCCGTGAAAGAAATTGTAGACAGTAATATGTCAAACTTTGTAAAAGAAGGACACACATTAGAAGAAGCAGAAAGAGTCTTTGAAGTACAGGGACCTCAAGACGATGCATGGTGTGAAATTTGTCCAGAAACAGAAGTGATTAGAATAGAATGCATCGAGGAAGGCACTACTGCAACCGTAGAGGAGGATGAAATCTCAGAGAAATCAATACCTGATTTAAATAGAACAAACAAAATAGATGCTACTGGAACAAATCTTCTTATCACATCTTTTCCAAAGAATGAGGTAATTCCTCTCCTTCGATCACTAAATTTGAAACAAAGAAAAGTCTTCTACAAAGTGAGAGATTGGTGTATGAAGAAAAAAAATGGTCAGAATCCAGAGCCATTTCATGTTTTTGTGACGGGTGGTGCAGGCACTGGAAAAAGTCATTTGATTAAATGCATATTCTATGAAGCAACCAGATTATTAGCACATGTTTCAGAAAATCCTGATGATTTGACTGTATTGTTGACTGCGCCAACGGGTACTGCAGCATTCAACATCAATGGGTTGACAATACATAGTGCTCTTGGCATATTCAAATCCTTATCTGTAAATCATGCTTTGTTGAGTGAAGAGAAAATGAATAAACTGAGATCCAAACTGGAAAATTTACAGATCCTTATCATTGACGAGATATCAATGGTCAACAAAAGACTGCTATTTTTTGTGCATGAACGTTTGCGTCAGCTTAAAAAAATGCCAGAAAACTGTGTGTTTGGAGGAGTGTCAGTTATTGCTGTTGGTGACTTCTATCAATTACCTCCAGTGAGAACAAAACGCTCTGATAAGCTGTATGTAAATGACCCTTCAAATCCGGTAAATCAGCTTTGGAATGATTTGTTTACAATTGTTGAACTGGATGAAATCATGCGACAGCGAGAAGATAGCCTTTTCGCTGAGCTTTTGAACAGATTACGTGTGAAAAAGGGGAATGAAACATTATTGCAATGTGACAAAGAGTCGTTGCAGAAGTGTATCAGAGATGGTCCTAGGGAAGCTTTACACATATTCTCAACCAACGAGGAAATAAATGCATACAACAATGAAATGATATTCGAGATCTGCAGTGAACCAAAATTGATTGAGGCTGAAGACTATGTGAAAATGAAAGCGTCTGGAAAGCTGGTAAGAAGAGAAACCCAGTTTACGAAATCTGACATATGTCTTCGATCCTCACTGTTGTTAGCAGAAGGAGCAAGAGTTATGTTAATAAGAAATGAGGATGTTCAAGACGGCCTTGTAAATGGCGTTATGGGAACAATTGTACGCATTGGATTGCAGTCAGGTTCAGATTTACCAGACGTTGTCTTTATTCATTTTGATAACGAAAATGTAGGCAAAAATGCTAAAATCCAAAAAATGATCAACCAAAAAAGATGTGTTGGACTACGTCCTACAGTCGAAGAAATTCCTCTCAGAAATGGTGTAAGAAAGCAGTTCCCTTTACAACTGGCATGGGCTTGTACCATTCATAAGGTTCAGGGATTAACGGTGAAAGAATGCGTAGTTGACTTAAATAAATGTTTTGCACCTGGTCAAGCATACGTTGCCTTAAGCAGAGTGACATCAATGGCTGGACTGTACATAAATGTCACTGATATTAGCATCCTAGAAAAGAAAATACGTAGTGATCCGGATATTGATGTAGGTATCTCTGCAATGAATAGATTCCTATCAGCCGAAGATGATCAGGTCTCAAACAAACATATCAAGATTTTGTATCACAACATTCAGGGACTGCAACAACATAAAGAAGACTTATTAAGCAATGAAGAACTCAAAGATTCAGATTTCATATGTCTCACAGAAACATGGTTGGATTCCAAATCAAATGTGGAGCTTGAACAGTTTAAATCAAGTCATTTAATAAGATCCGCAGCTTTTGATAAAAGTTGTTCTTTGTATGAAGAACTTGCTAATATGCAACAGGGAGGAGTAAGTGTATTTTGCAGATCAGGAGTTGTATATGAGGAGCTAAAGATTGCTGAAAATCTAGAGTGCATCGTTTTCAAAATTGAAAGTATTGACACTGTAGTTGCCACCATATACAGACCACAAAGATACGTGATTGGAACATTCATGGAAACATTAAACCAATTCCTAAGCCGGTTGGAAGCCCACTCAAGTAGGATGATTGTCATCGGGGATTTTAATCAGGATATTTTAAGAGAACAGTCCTCAATTCTTAACTTCATGACATTGAAGGAGTTTAAGCAATGCATTCAAAATCCTACAACAGACAATGGGACATTGATCGATCATGTGTACACAAAAGGTTGCCCTGGGGTCCAGGTTTCACTTGTTCCAACCTACTACAGTTATCATGAAGCAATCGCAGTTTACATAAAAGGTAATTTGGGAAATCAGTAATTTGGAATAAATTATGTGAATTTGGTGAAATTGAAAGATAATATAAATGTTAATATATGTTTTTTTTGAAGCAACAAATAATGGTTTAGATATTGAACTAGAAATATAATGTGCAATACATGTTCTACAGGTCAATATGCAAATTCAGAATTTGAAAATGTAAGTCACAGGAACTTCTGTAAGACTAACTAGAACTCTTCAGACACGATGCACTTAAAATTTAGTTTAGATATCAAACAACTAGAGAAATGGAGTTCATTCTGCTCATTTGTACATCGGTCAGATGGAGCTATGATGGCAGCGGATTTCAGAAAGGTTTTTATAAACGTTTTTATAAAGAAAATACAAAAAATCGAAGTTTTCATTACCGACCATTTCAGATAAAAAGTTTTCAGACCCTGGTTTAAGTTTTTTTAATATCATTTACTGGAAAATACGAGATTGTTGATACCAGAGTAAAGTTATGACCACCTTTTTGTTTTAAAAGTTCAAAGCGAGAGTATATTATTATGTTGAAGAAAAAAGCAGGTTTTTAAGCATTTATGATTAAACCTGAGTATTTATTGTTCACAGAAATAATAGGCAGGAGAATGCCTATAATATTCAGATGGTTTATCATTTTATTAGGAGTTCAGACCGCCTTTTTAATTTGAAAATTGCAATTTCTTGACCTAATGTGCCCTACTTACATGTATTTTTTAAAAAACGGTATCATGAGGTGTCAATTGCTAATCACAGAAAATTCTACCCATATAACTACGCCGTACGCTTAAGACAATAGAAAATGAACTTGGCTTGCAGGTTTTAACATCAAAAGTTGAAAATCAATAGAATTTTTTATTTTATGCAGGATCTAAAGAATAAGAAAAAGGTTTTCCCTAATATAGTGTAACGTGAATAAGATTGATTGTTGTTTTATGCAGAGTCTGCAATATTTCAGCCATATTTTGGCGGGAACGTAAATAATAATAAGAAAAGATGATGATAAGGGTGGATTAAAAAAATGACCAAACACATATTTATCAACCCACACTAAAAATACAGGCAATGAAAATAGACTTCTATGTCTGAGCATGTGTCTTTAGATAGTGTATAAGTACCTGCCAAAATACCTCATTGATATCTAAATTCATAAAAAAATTATGCCCAAAAATGATGCTAAAAATGTTAGGAGTGCAACACCTTTTTGTGACATTTTGAAAAATCAGTATTTTTTCAATTGAAAATCTGTGAAATAAATAATACAGGTTTATGTTGAAAATAAAGATTTTCCTGTTAATATTCAAAGTATTGAGCTTTAAATGTGGACTGTAGTAACTTTTGTTTGATTAACTTGTGGTCATGGCTGATGTTGAAAAAAATGTTACACCATGTCAGGAGTGCAACAGAAAAAATGTGGTGTTGCTAAAAAAAAACATTGATTGTAAAAATCTGAAAGACAATTAAGTCAATAAAGAATCTTAAAAGTTTAGCAATGACCAATATAAAATTTAAAACTTTAAAATGTTATATAAATCACAAGCAGCACTTGTGAGAGTCAAGTATATACAATGTATATGCATACCAAATAATGTCAGGGGTGCAACATTTGATGTTTTGCTCCCCAGCATGAAAAAACTTAAATCAGTATATGATTTTCTGATTTTTTATTTTGGAAAACAAAGCCACAATGAACATTTTTACCAAATACCACAAAGAACATTTTTACCAAATAGATCTATCAATTACAGGGTCTGTCTATGTTTCAGATCTATATTTCTATGGTCAGGAGTGCAACACATTTTTTCAAAGATTCAAGTTATATGATGAAAAGACTTCTATTCATGCTAAAAAGAGTTCATTAATTAATAATGATCTATTTGTATAATTTAGAATAAAATTATTGACAGCTTTATTATTTAAATCCTTTCTTTTTCCAATTTTATCAATTCAGATGTGTTTTTATCTTTTTGTGATTTTTTTTTATGAGTGTTTGAAATAAACACACAAAAATTGTCATAAAATTCAAGTATTTCCACCTCAACTTCACTGAAAGAACATACCAACTTCTTATGTAATTTTTACTTCACTATTCTACTTTCAAGACTCTCATGCTCTTGGCCAGGAGTGCAAAAAATACGTTAGAATTATAACTGGTCCAATATGAATAAATGTAAAGAAAAAATTGATGAGTAGAATGTTTCTAGTTGCTTACTGTGTTTGTCCTCTAAAGAAAAATATGCTAAAAATATAATTTATCTTCTTAATATATATTTAAGCTAGTTTTTTTGACATAAATAAGGAAGAATTAAAGATATAAAGCCAAGTTTAAATATTTTCATGTGTTTTAATTATGAAGTATTGGACTATAAATGTTGCACGATTTTGTTACCACTTGATGTTACCTACACTTTATTAATTTTTGTGATCCATGGTTTTAATTTTAAATTTTACCGCAGTCAGGAGTGCAACAAAACTGCTTTATAATTACCAATGCTCTTTAACAATCCTTACTTAAAAGTAAATTGAAAAGAAATGTTAGATACTATTTGATGCTCAAAACACTAGGTCTATCAACAAATTACAGACATTTTACAGTTAATTCAGGGAATAGTTTTCATCATTTCACATATGTTTTTAAATACAATATATATATATATATATATATATATATATATATATATATATATATATATATATATATATATATATATATATATATATATATATACGAGGGTTGTTCGGAAAGTTCGTGGACTTCTGTCATATCTTTTTTATTTAACGTCATACGTTATCCAAATTTGGTAGAAATATTTTAACAATAAATTTAAATGATTTGTATTAAATTTTTCAAAAATATCATGATTTATTTAAAACTTATCCATAATTAAAAACTGCAAAAATCGGATCGCGGCGCAGGTCAAACGTTAGTAATTTACAAACAATACACTAAATAATGTCTGTAGTAATCTTCTCTGTAAAATGGAGCAAAAACGAAAAAATCCTAGACGGTTAAATTAAGAACTATTACAGCGATTCGTATTCCAAATTATGGCTTAATATTTTGCTTCGGTAAAAAGAAATCAATTTGAGAAGATAGGTAGTCCTCATTGAAAACGACAAAAACGATGACGTTGTAGAACGTCACGGAGCAGCAGATGCCGTTTTGTGTTATACTCGGGGAAAATCTTGAATAAACGCTAAAAATGTTGGAGGAATCAGATAATATGCCACAAGCGAGTAGTGATGTGTGTGTAAATGGTAGAGGCGGTATTTGAGTGACAGAGATTCTGTACCGGACGAGGGCGATCTGTGAAGAAACGGTTTAACTGTAAAAATCTGAACGAAAACTTTTAAAAGTTGGGACGTCATAGAAAGACGTAGGCGCTTCAGAGTTGCTGATCTTGTGAAAGCACAGTTTAGCGGTAAAAGAAATTAAACATTAACAAAGGAAAATATAAAATGAGAACAATGGTTAGAGAAATAAATGTCAAGTGATTGAAAAAGGTTTTTAATACGTGGGTATTGGACTATACTGTGTGAATGTATAGGGATAGAATTTTTAAGAAACTCTTGACGCTATGTTTTTGACGTTACATTGCTTTTAAGTGTGCGCCGTGGTTACAAAACATGTTGATTTTAAAATGAAGTAAATTAATTTCTATCAAATCGAATGGAATGAAATTTCACAGATCAACAAAACAAATATTTTTACACATGATATTGGGCTTATTTTGAATTTCTTGGAAGTAGTATAACAAAGATTGACATCGTCCACGAACTTTTCGAATAACCCTCGTACATATATACACTTTGCAAATAATCATGTTTTAAGGTCTTGAAGATATGAACAACTTGTCGTAAACGATAAAAAATATCAAATTGACAAACTGATTTACAAACTAAGAATGAATTATTGTGAATTGTAATTTTTAAAACAATGTTAAATAAAATACATTGCAGATGTCAGGAGTGCAACACAATAATGTAAAATAGATTCACTTCAAAATCTAGTATTTTTGTAAGAAAACTTGTATATCAAACTTCTTTTTTGACTTAGATTTAAAGAATTGACTTAAATAGACAAAAAAGTTAATTTTGGGGAATTCTGTTCTTATTTTTTTCATATTAAAACTTTTCAAACCAGAATTGAAAAAAATAATGTAAAATAACAATCAGAGAGCCAATTTTTTTGTCACATTTACAAGAGAAGAAACTCAATTAAGGCTTAGATATAATCATTTATTTCTCTGATACCATTTTGAAGCATAAAAACCTATAATTTCTTGTGAATATGTACTTAAGAAAGTCTTATATGATGAAGTGATATTTTCTTTTTTCAAATGAAGTTTTACTAATAAAAATTTTGTAACTTTTTTATCCAATTGTCTATTATATTGCCATTTCGGAATTTTTAACTAGAATGCATATGCAATATGATGATCCGATATAAGGGAAAAATATGTAATAAGTAGTTGAATTTTTCCAAAAAAATTTCAGTTTGGTGTTCATTATTTTTTAATTAACCCATAACAGTACTGCAAAAAAAAATTTGGATAGTGAATCTCGAAAGCAGTTTCAAAAAAGGATATGTAAGACTAAGAGATCGAAATTATATGTTAAAAAGCAAAAGAGAAATGTCTCATAATTTGAATAATCTTCACCTTTGAATTTGATTTTCAGAAATGCAAGTTTCACTTGTCCTCAGCCTTTAGTTCATTCAATTCCACAGAGTAATTTCTATTTTGTTTCAGTCATAACTCGAGTCTTTTTTCCGGTGCTGCTGACAAATACTCATTATGTGTTAGATTAATACTAGCTGTCTGAGTCCTAAAGGCAAGTTTTAAATATTAGATTAATAAAGATGAGACTATCTATATTCTCTCTGTTGTTTCTGGGTAATAAATTGCAGAAATGCTCAAAAAAGATATTTTGAAGATATTATAGTTTAAAGATAACACACCGTAGATGCAGTAATCTTTCATACATGTGGCAAGTCAGACTATATATATAAAAAGCCA